AAAAAAGATTCTAATTGTGAGTTCAGGCTTGATTTCTTCTAGGACTCATTCATTTGTCTTTTTCTGCAGTCCATGGTCTCCATAGACAGATAACACATTTCAGCACCTCCTTTCAAATGTGTTGATTCTCTTCCTCTCAGCTTTCTTCACTCTCCAGCTTCCACAACTGTATATAGAAATCAGCAATACTATGGTATGGATACTATACCCTACAAGTACTGATATGTCTTTACATTTTAAGGACCTTATCCAGTTCATTCATAGCTGCCCTTCCAAGTCTTAGGCTGCTCCCAAACTGCAGAAATAAAGCAGTTTGACAAGATTTTAACTTCCATGGCTCAAGCCTATGGAATCCTGGGATTTGTAGTTTTATGAGGTCTTTAGCCTTAGCGTTTCAACTCATTGCCTGGTTGTATGGCAAGCAACAGCTACTGACATTCTCCCTTCTGCCCTCTGCAGTTTTCAGTCTGGCAACCCTATACACTACAGTGCACTCTCTCTCGCACCAGAAACAGAAAGGGGGGAGTAGTGTGCAATGTGTGTCACATGTGGGTCACATTGTCGCTTCTCTTTTTGGGGTGGTTTGGTGCCCATCAGAGATGATCTTGGAGGAGAAAGTCCAAGATGTTCTTGGATATGGTGGTAGGGTGAATCTGCCATGTTGGTGTGGAGTTACTCTATGTATATACTCATGTATAAGTCTAGAAATGTTAGTCAAAAAATTAACTCCGAAAACCTGGATCAATATAAGTATTAAAAAAGGGAACCATCCCCTGGTGAAAGGCAAGAGTATAATCTGTCCTGGAAGCACTGACCCTCTTCTATTCTTTCATCCATTTGTGAGTACAAAGAGTTACGTCTGCTGGGATTTTGTACATTCTTTAACATCATTTTCCTTTGCTTCATCCTTTAGATCTTTTGTTGCATGCTGCTAAGTTTCACTCTCAACTTATCCACAGGACATATCAAAATCCATAATTTTGGCCCCCAAACATGCCCTCGACTTATATATGTGGTCGACTTATAGTCGACGGTATCTTATAGTCTTATAGTCGACGGTATCTTATAGTCTTATAGTCGACGGTATATACTGTATCTTCACTGATGGACGACGTATTTTCAGGTGAACTGAGCAATCATTTCGAAAACTGTCCAACATTTTTGAAATGGGGGCCCCCATGAATTCCATTTTCCCACCCCTACTGGCTGTCAAGGCTGCCAAGGAAATGGAGACAGGGAACCCAAAGAGTTATTTCTTGGTTCAAGAATTATCTAGTAGCCCCCTTGATCTTGCAGGATTTTCTTTTTCCTTCTGGAAACGTCCAAGAAAGAAAGAAAAAACTGGGTCTCCGAAGAGAGACATCTGTCAAGTGGCCCCAGTACCTCTGCCTCTCGGTTAGTCTTGTTTGGTGCACAATATGCCCTGAGCTTGCTGGGTTTCTTAAGAAGATCAGGCGTCTTTATGTAACCCATTTTTCCTTAACACTAAGTCCTTTGTCAGGATTACCGGCTTCTGAAACATCTGTGTGGGTTTGGAGGCCAGACGTACAGCCCAGAGCTGCTGAAAATAAAAGCTGAATATTATTAACCTTCTAAATGAGGCATTAAACAAACAAATGCACACACATACACAGAGCCTCCAACATGCTCTCGGATATAACCTGTTCTTAAGACGGATGCAATAGGAATTTGTGGTGCACTGAGTTAGTTTGTGATTCCTTGCAAGAATGCTCAGCCTTCAGAAGATGCAAGTTGATTGCTGGAATCCAACAACAACAACTCTTTATTTCAGTCATTGACCAATAAATTAGTAATTAGTAAATCATTAATAATAATAAATAATAATAATAAAATTTATTTATATCCCACCTCTCTGTAAAATACAACCGAGGCGGCTTACATAATAAAATGAACAATCCTGTCCCCCAATAGCCCACCCCCCAAAAATATAAAATAGAATAGAATTATATATATAATATAATTAAAACAAGTAGCAAGGTTATCTTCAACCTCTCAGATCAATGACTATTAACTGTTTGAAGGCATCTCTTACACACAAAGGAGCAAAATTTTGGGACTTCAAGTATAACAATTTGGTTCTAATTTTCCAACAGATAGCATAAATAAAAAAACCAACAGAGAATACTGGAAATTTAGTTACAAAAGGGGTAATCAGACTGTGGTGAATGTCCTTGTAAAATTGACAATACAAAAATACGTGAACTGTAGTTTCTACAGCACCAGTACTGCAAGGACAAAATTGGATTTCACAGGGAAATTTCCTATATTTTCCTTCCAGTATTGCTGTTGAGATAACATTGAATTGGGCTAATAATAAAGCTCTCCTAAATTTAGGTTCTGTAACATCAGATAAGTATATAGCTGGATTAGAAGCCAGTATATGATTGTGTGTAATGAGAAAAGGCAGCAATTTCTATCTTTCCTTCTGTATCTAAAATCCTTTGCCTTATAACTGAATAAAGGATGATATGGGAATCCTGTAGCATCCTTTACATACCTTTATGTGACTTTTATATAATTTTACTGGATACAGGCATCATGAAACCCTAGTTTTAATTGTCAGATACGTGAGTCCACTTACGAAGGTATAACTTCCATACATTACACTGGCCTATGCTTCTTTTTCAGATAGACATGTTGGTGTGCTTTCAGGCCAGGCATTTCTGATAAGACACATCCATAGGACGGAGCAGCAAACATCAGCTGTAGGGTAAACAGAGGAGAAAAGAAAACATCAGTTCTGGACACTACAGAGTTGAACCTGGAAGTCCAGGTTTGCATTGTGCAAAATTTTGTCTCCAAATCTCTCTTCCTCTAAACTTGTTATCAACTGCTTCTTGGGGCTGTTTTGCATTTTGCCAAATATGAAAGTCCATGAGCCAAGCATGCAGAACCTCCAACTTATGGGCCAGATATAGCTCTTGAGGGCTTTCCATTCAGCCTGCCCGAGTCTTTCCCAAGCTCCAGATCCTCTCATAGGCCTATCTTCTCTTCCAGGCTACATCCTTCCTCCAGGCTTCTGATACTACCTGCTTGCCAGATACCATCTTTCCAAAGGTGTCGGTCATTTTAAACAACTTGGAGGTTCAAATGTCGTCGCTGTTGTGTGCCTTCAAATTGTTTCTGACTTATGGCAACCCTAAGGTAAACTGATCATGGGGTTTTCTTGGCAAGATTTGTTCAGAGGGGGTTTGCCATTGCTGTCCTCTGAGGCTGAGAGAATGTGATGTGCCTGAGTTTACCCAATGGGTTTCTGTGGCAGGGCTGGGATTTGAACCCTGGCCTCCTGAGTCATAGTCCAATGCTCAAACCACTACACCACGCTGGTTTACATTTGAAGTTCAAATGTACTGCTTATAAAATAAAATAATCTAAGCTCATTGATTCCAGTGGCATCACTAGGGCTGGTGTCACCCGGAGTGGGGCAGCATTGGCGGCAGCAGCAGAGATCCCCATCATCTTCCCTCCTTTGCCTCTCTCACTCAGCTGACCAGACCTGGAAGGACCCAGGAAACTAGATTAATAATAATAATAATAATAATAATAATAATAATAATAATAAAATTTATTTGTATCCTGCCCCTCTGAGGAATGCCAGGGAAGATGGGACAATGCTCTGCAATGAGAGCATCTTCCTTCCCCTGCTTTTGCAGAGAGACATGGCTGGTGATGTCCGGAAGGACGGATTATGATAGATGATGGACAACTGTCCCACTGGGTGTTCACCCCTCTGTGGGCTTTCACCCAAAGTAGTCCGCACTCCCCACACACCCCTAGTGACTCCCAATTGATTCCTTTCATAACATCACATATGTGTCCCTGAGGACAGATCTCTCTCTCTCTGGCTGTGTCCGCACTGCAGAAATAATCCAAGTTTGACACCACTTTAATTGCCATGGCTCAATGTCATGCTTTGAAATTCTGAGAACTGTAGACTGGTGGAGCACCAGAGCTCTCTGATAGAGAAGGCTAAATGCCTCACAAAATGACATTTCCCAGAATTCCATAGCTTTGAGCCACGGCAGTTAAAGTGGTATCAACCTGGGTTATTTCTGTGGCATAGACACAGCCTCTCTCACTGGGAGGAACCCTATTCTAGCATCCTATGAGCCCAAGCGATAAGTTGGGCTCAGTGACGGTCAATGGCTTCCATGTCAATGAGGCAATAAATCTGCCCCAGAACTAGTCCATGGTGCTGAACCTATTTGGAAGATGCACTTCAGCAGCTAGTCCATCTTATTTAAATTTTGGACTGAAACCTGGAACTGATCCACCACCTTCCTGACTAGGGATGGAAACAACATTTGGAAATTTGGAAATGTTTGAATAAGGGTTGAAAAAAAAATATTTTTCAGGAGTCAAGAAACCCTGATGAAAAGAATCCCAGACAGATGAGATTCTTTGCAGTTTGGGACTTATTTTGTACAAAATTCAGATGTAATTATTTTGCACAGAGATAAATCAAAATGATAAAACCCCTAATGTGTGTGTGTGTGTGTTTTTAAAAAAAGAAAAATCAGGATTTTTTTTCTCCCTCCAAACCTAGTCAGACCAGATTTCCAAAATAAATCCCAGATAAGGAGCAAATAGTGGGATGCAGTGACTCAAGTGGATAAGGGGCTGACTCTGTTGACTGCAAGACCGGCAGGTTGGCAGTTTGCTGCCCAGATGCTGCATGATGGAGTTAGCTCCCATCACTAGTCTCAGCTTCTGCCAGCCTAGCAGTTCGAAAGCATGCAAATGCAAGTAGATAAATAGGTACCACTTTGGTGGGAAGGTAAACAGCATTCTGTGCAACCATGCTGGCCCCATGATCACAGAGAAGTCTCTGACAACACTGGCTCTTTGGATTAGTAATGGAGATGAGCACCAGCCACTATGGTCAGACACGACTTGACAACTTGATATGTCCAATAGGGAATACCTTTACCTTTAAGGAGCAAACAATCCCAAATCCATGTGGATGCTCACCCCCGAGTGATCCCTTAACGTCTGATGCACATTCTGAATTGTGTGTCAAGCTGATGATTTCCTTCTCCCTAGGCTTCGAATCTGTCCCCGAGTGTAATCTGAATTGTAAAGGAATTATCCAAGATGCTATCTTGGGAATGAAAAGAGAAGGAACGGAGAAACTCACTTCTTCCGCTAGCTCAGTTTTGCTCCCAGGATCAAGCATATATATATATATATATATATATATATATATATATATATACACACATATATATATAAAAGCAAAGTCCACCTCCTGCTGAGCTCTTCAATGAATCCATACAGATCCATCAGTCCAGCCTTGTCTGGCTGGCTCCCTCCGTCCGTCTCCCACCCGCCAAGGCCATTAGCGTAATGACAAGAGGTCACAAAGTGCAAGTCCAAATTGTCAATTTTCATTTGGCAAAATGACCCGGTTTTAAGGCACACGCCAGCTTTCTCCATCCTCTCTGCCCGAAAAAGAAAAAAAAGCAAGATTCTCCAGGGTCCTTTGATTATTGCTCCCCAAAGAGCTGCCGTTTCCCATCTGATTCCAAGTGCCAATAGCTTAGGGAACTAGTAAAATTATTAACAAGGGTCATGGCTGTTTTGCTACTCTGGTTGGACTTCAGGGCTCCAGGGCCTATTTGACGGCCATTTACCGCTGCCTTTCCCTCCTGAATGTTCATTATTGGGCTTTGGGTGTTTATGGATTTATTGATGGAGCCCAGCCATACATCTCTCAAGAATAATGTTGGCATTGCAGACTGAAATTTCCACTCCGTTTCATAGGGAATAACTGGGTTTGCAGCAGGGTTATATCTATGTGTGTATGTTTAGGCATGGCATTGCTCCACAAATAAAAAATTTTTTGTAATATGCTTCTAGCATTCTAGTATGTTTCTAGCAATTCTGCTCCCCTCCCCAAACTTTTTCCAATATGTTTCTAGTATTGTTGGTGTTGTTGTGTGCCTTCAAGTCATTTCTGACTCATGGTGACCCTAGGGGGAACCCATCATGGGTTTTCTTTGGCAAGGTTTGTTCAGAGGGGGTTTGCCATGGCCTTCCCCTGAGGCTGAGAGAGTGTGACTTGCTCAAGGTCACCCAGTGGGTTTCATGGCTGAGCTGTAACTTAAAATGTCCATTGAGCATTCAGAAACACAGTTTAGGCTTTCAAAGAACAGGATCATGCAAAGTGAGGAAGGAAATGAGATAACGGCAAATAGAAAAGGTTTACATAGTGGATGATGTTCAGTGTCTCGCTTTCTTGAATGCTAGAAAATTGGTAAGTGAAGGAAATTTTGTATGTGTGTGTGTGTGTGTGTTTGTGTGTGATATTTTGTTGTGAAAGAGCAGTGCCCTCATTTTGCCATCCTTATACCTACACTGAGAGCCAGCATAGGACTATAACTCTATAGCATAGGACTATAACTCTGGAGATCAGGACACTCTTCTCCAGCACCACATCACAAATGAGTTAGTTTTCTTCTTATCCACTTTCTTCACCATCCAGATCTCACATCTCACAACATAGGTACCAGTTTGTAAAGTTATACGACATAGGCTGTGATGTAAAATCTCCACCGTTACTCCTTAATCCAGGGGTAGGCAACCTAAGGCCCGGGGGCCGGATGCGGCCCACTGAGGCCTTTGGACCGGCCCCAAGCCGGTCCTGCCGCCACCGCCGCCGCCCCCCCGCCCGCCATGATGATATTGATTATTGTTGTTATTGTTCTTGGGGTTTTCTTGGCAAAATCTCCACAGGGGTTTTGCCATGGCTTTTCTGGGGCTGACAGAGTATGCATGCATATATTTTTAAAATTTTAAAATTTTTAAATTAAAAAAAAAATTATTTATTTATTTGTTTTTGGTGCTTCGGCCCCCAAATTGTCTGAGGGACAGCAACCCGGCCCCCGGCTCAAAAAGGTTGCCTGCCCCTGCCTTAACCTAATGAATAAACTACATCTCCACTTCTGCGATTACTTTTGCAATGCAATTTCATCATGCTGTCCTTACAGCAGCGTCTTACAAGTAAATACCTTACTTTCAAACAAACATCCACCAAACAGTGATCCCTTTATTGGCCAAGCAAAATGCACAATATACCTGGTTGAAAGCTTTCGAAGCTCCACTGGCTTCTTCATCAGGCAAGGAGTTGCAAACCAAACAGGAGATGGTCAGTGACGGTCAATGGCTTCCGTCACAAACCAAACATTTTTCTCCTGTTTGGTTTGTAACGTCTTGCCTGATGAAGAAGCCAGTGGAGCTTTGAAAGCTTGCAACAAGTATATTGTGCATTTCGGTTGGCCAATAAAGGGATCACTGTTTGGTGGACTTTTGTTTGAATTTGCTAAATGGCCAACACAGCTACCCCTGAATGTAACCTTACTTTCAATTACTTATAAAGGCTTAATAGGACCAGTGTGGGATTGTGGTTTGAGTGTTGGACTATGACTCTGGAGTCCAGGGTTCGATTTCCCAGCTTGGCCATGAAACCCTTTCAGCCTCAGGGGAAGGCAATGGCAAACCTCCTCTGAACAATTCCTGCCAAGAAAATCCCATGATAGATTCGCCTTAGGATCACTATCAGAAATGACTTGAAGGCACACAACAATTACAAGAAGTTACTCCCTTCTTTTTACTCCTTTACTCTCTTTTTTTTAAAAAAAAAAAATAGGGAAATATAAATAAATATTATTATTATTATTATTATTATTATTATTATTATTATTATTATGAATTACATTTCAAAAGTAACCCAGTTACTACTGTACATGTTACTCTTGTGATCGTACAGGAGAGAGTGGGATAGAAATATTTTAATAATAAAATATTTTAATAACTTGTTGCATTCAAGATCAGGCCCAGATGTAGTCCAGAAAGATATAGTGTTGAAAAGCCAGGGGCTGATTGACTGATTGATGATCCTGATTTATAGCCATCCCCGTCCTAAGAACGGAGAACGGAGATTGCAAACACAACTACAGCAGAGATAACTTTCTCAGTGTTTTGCTGCGTCATGACAACCCACCATCAATGCGGTGTTTAATTAAGTGGTTTAATTACACTCTGGCAGTTTTAATTACCTTTTGGGATTACAGAATCAGCTTAGAACACAGCAGATTTCCACTAAGGGAATTATACGTCTTGCATAAGAAGAAGAGACCACCCTATATGCACACAAGATGCACACACACACAAGTGGAAAGGGTTTTTAAAGTGATGCCAAAGTTCCCAGAGCATTTTAGACATGGGCTTCATGGGATGGGGGAAATAACGGCTGCATCTGCACTGCAGAAATAATGAAGTTTGACACCACTTTATCTACTATGGCTCAATGCTCTGCAATTCTGGGAT